GCCGTGCCGCTGCGAGAAGTCAGCCGAGACGGTGACACGAATTTTCACTGAAATTTGGATATCTGTGTTTGGCATCCCACCACTATCACCACGGATAGAGGACCCCAATGTAATTCTGCCCTGTTTCGCGACCTTAACCGCATGCTTGGCTGTTCTCATTTACCCACAACAGCATATCATCCGACTTCTAACGGTTTAGTCAAGTATTTTCACCGCCAACTCAAAACCGCACTCACCGCGGCGCAATCGGATATCCATCGGTCGGAGCGTTTACCGAGCATTCTGCTCGGTATCCGCAATACTGTGCATAGTAAACATATGGTTCACACAACCCACCCATGGGCGAAAAGCTGTTTGTTCCCTAGCCGAAATAACTCGATGCCTTGATATCTGGACTCAAGTGGAGGTCTGCTACCCGTACTTTAGTAGACCATTTGACTCGGTTAATTATCAGTGTTTACTAGAGAAATTGTTTTGCCATGTGCTGCATTCCAAACTAATGACTTGGATGTCCGCTTTTCGCTGGGGCAAGACGTTCCATGTCAGGATTGAGGAGGCCAAACCCGGCATGGGCACTGCTCAACTTGAGGTTCCGCAGGGTCTTGTGCTAGGACCATTGTTGTTGTCTATGTTTATAAATTAACTTGCTCCACTTCTTGAGGACCTTTGTAATGTGGTTGCAGATGACGTAAACATTGTCAGTAGAGGACATGGAAACATGTTGTCCAAAGGCCTGTGTACTGTAGCCTGGTAGTCGGAATCGTCGGCGCTACTACGAAATGTTAACAACTGTGAACGTTTGACATCAAACAACAGCGGGATTACGATGTAGACCCTCAATAGGTCCCTGACTTTGCAGTGTGTGGATAAAGCAAAGGACTTGAGCGTCGTCATGGCGGACAGCTTCAAAAACATGTTGATTGTCCACCTTCAAAGTAAGCATGCGTCTAACCTTCAGCCAGCAAGGTCATGCTAACAATAATGGTGGACTTCGTCCCTAAAGTGTCAGTACTACCTGAGCCTATTATAATTCCCTAGTACATCAACTAAGAATGGCTATCAGGAAAGAGAGGTGAGCTATGCTAGTCAGAGTTGTCCTTCTCGTCTTTGAGAATGCCCCTGTTTAAAACTTAAAAGTCGCTCAGACAGAAGCGCCTGCCTGTAGCTACGAAATACCTTATTATACCCCACACTCTTGATACCTTGTATCATCCGGCTTTCAGCTCGTTTCAAATATGAAGTCATTTCTGAGGGGAAAACTTGTTCCTGACGATGAGACTCTGATCACTGAGGTCAGTTCATGGCTTGTGACCCAATCTGAGTACTTCTACAAACGTGGTCTATCCAATTGCAGAAAACGATGACGGTAATGTGTAAATCTGGGTGGCACCTATGTGGAGAAGGGCTAATATCTGTGCAGCGTTTAGCTGTTCTCGGTGCACGGGAAGTTGGCCAGAGAAAATATTTATTGAACCCCCACGTACAGTCCGAACACCCTGCTTCACGGTTGTGAAATACCTGTTCCAGTTACTAAGGTCACATATACGCATACCAATCCGGCCTCTGAGTTCCGGTTTAACCAAATGTGTATTCAACCCTATTACACTTGATCCTGGTGTGCTCTCCACCCCGTCTCACCCAGTATTGTGTTCAATGTGTCAATACACATCGTGTGGCCCTCGCTTCTGTGCTCTCAAAGCAAAATCGTCGCAGGCGCTCAATCCCACTCCGGAGTAAATAAATAAATGAAGTCCAGATAGGTTTGGAAACAATCGGTTGGTAGAGTGGTTTGGTAACGCTGCGCCCCTGGCACAAGGGCTTTGTGAGACCAGGTGAATCAGTGTGCAATTGGAATGGGATTTTATAGCCAACTGGGGCGATAACCGCGTTACCCGAGACTTGAGCCAAATTGTCATTACGGTAAAAGTTCGTGATGTCACGTCAGGTGGTTCAATCATAGGGGGAATAGTCCAGGTGTTCCTCTATGCGTCATGCCATTGACGCATAAGTTCATAGTGTTGATGATGGGAGTCGGTTTGCACTTTCCACTCTGATCCACGAACCGATGCTCCTCAGGCTGGTGTGTGGATTAGATTTGAAAGTGCGAACCGACTCCCACTGTCAGCACTATGAGCTTATGCGTCAATGGCATGACGCATAAAGGAACACCTGGACTATTCCCACTGTGATTGAACCACTTGAGGTGATATCACGAACTGTTACCGTAATGACACCTTGGCTCTAGTCTCGGGTAACGTGGTTATCGCCCCTGTTCGTTATAAAATCACACTCCAATTGCACACTGATTCACCTGATCTGATGAAACTCTTGTGTCAAGGAGAAACGTTACCAAACGACTCTACCAACCGATTGTTTCCAAACTTCTATGAACTCATGACTACTCGATCGGTTACTAGTATCTTCCAAGAATTTGAAATAACTAAAGGTTTTATTCTCCACAAGACGAGGTACGTCATTACAGGCATGACCAGTTTAACATATCAACGCTTGACCAAAAATGTGTAAAAATCCAATGTGTTTGCCATAGCAGTTTATGTTTGTGTAGGGGGTATATAAGTATGTAATTGTGTGTGTGTATGCAGCTGTGTAGTTTGTGCTTGTTATTGTGCTGCTCCATTCTTAAATGTTGGATATCGCCGGCACTGTGGGAGTAGGATATTGCTGTCCGTGGGTTGGAAACGATTATCCGGATATCCACGGGGCAGTGACTTTAATTTGTGGTACAGTGTTAGTAAGCAGACATTTGTGGCTTTTTATAGGGAGAACGCTTGCCAGGTGAAAACCCACCACCTCCTGGAAGACACTGCCGCCGAACTATTTGCTGGAACGGGTTAAAACCGAACCATCCAGCTAGCACCATGAGGAGGTTGTTCGGCGAGCCAGCCTATACAGGAACTACTGGATGTCAATAGTACGTAGAAATACATGTCGCAACGAAGATCGTGACCTAGCTACGTTCTTTGCGAAGCATGCGGTTACTATGGACTCTTCAATTCTACAACAGGTCGAATGGAAAGAATCAATTATGCTTTGTTACCTAAAATACAAACCACTGTATGTGCATCGGTCACCGACGGGTACGGCAAATAAAGCTAATCGGCTGTGAAAACCATTCGGATCAAAGCGAGCAGTTCAAGTCCGACAATCAAATTCGAATCGCTGTTAATCTCCGCTCGTGGAACTCAATGACCTAGTGGCCAATGCGCAAGCTGTCAACCGATGAGTGCCAGATTCAAAACACAGTCCAGGCCATGTTTAAGTAAATAGTAAAAACTAAGACAAAACTAATGGTTGAGGAAAGTGTTAGGAGCTAACAGTCTCGAAACTCGGATGCGAGCCCAGTGATCGATGTGACGAGGACTCAATTTAAAGTAAACTGTGATCCCAATGAAGATTGTGTGTTGTTTCCCAGATGCACGTGAGTACCTGAAAACCCAATGGTGATCACAGTAAGATTAGTTAAAAATAAGTTAACCGGTTAGATAAAATGAAACGCAAGGGTGTAGGCATGCTATGCAATACCAGCGGCGGTGGTGAGGCGACCGTGCGTGGATCGAAACAAACAGGACATTTGAGGAGACGAGACCGTCACTCATGCCAAAAGTGAAGTGGATCGCATGGCGAATGATAGACAGACAGATGGCAGCAGGTAGACACCTTGGTAGATGGGCAGATAGGTGGATGGATAAGACAAGCGAAAGGATAGACACACAGAAAGGTACATAACCAGAGGATGTTAGGTAAGGACAGCTTGAACGGCTAAGTGGTTGTTTGGTGCAAGGATCTAGTGCAGACTCTGGTAAAAAGATGGGGAGATGGTGAGATTACAGGTTCGGGAATTTTCTTGTGCATATAGTTATGGGTCTAGTTGCACTGGAAAAATCTGAGAGAAGTCGGATGGCATTGTAAACGTTCAGGGGGATTTAAGCAACTGCCATCTGTGTCAAAGACAGTCCAGATTTGTTTAGGTTCAAGGCGATGGGCTCAATTGGTCAGCACACAGTTGCATTAACGAAGTGCAGAACTCTACTCATGAGTAGTCAAAAACCAATCATAACAGTCTTCAACATGCTGTGTGGATGTGGGGCTAATGGGAGGGGAGTCCTGACGACGAGGGCCAGCCACTATTCTCTGCACGGGTAGTGACCCACATGTCAGTGGAGGATGGGTCGGGCTATATCGCAGTTAGATTCCAATCCACGATGGTCACTTATCATCCTCCATGTTACAGTGGCATACGCTGCTAGTTAGTGGTAAACACCTCTAGCGCTTCCTTGAAGTGAGCCGAGGGGATGTGCACTACTGATAATTCCCAAGTGGACGAAACGAACGTCTGGTGCTTTGCCAGAGTGGTAGGTCATCTGTTTGGCCTGTTATCTAAATGAGGTGAATTAAATGGATCGCACGTAATCTCTCTATTCATGAGTGATGAACTATCGGTGACAACCGGTTATGGTGAAAATACTGCTCCAACCAAATTCATATAGTTCGCTAAACTGGCGGCCCACATGGTACGAATACGTGGAATGGAAAAACCTTCGTCTCGTTATAGACATAAGGTAAAAAAGTAGTATCCGAAACGGTGGTTAGGGAATCCAAAATTATACTCAACTACGGTAGAAGAAAACAATTCAAGAAGAAACGGCAACACAGAAACATAGAAATCGTTCCACATTTGCAGGAAGAATTGATAAAACGGCGATCACGTTTGAATCAACTGGGTAAAGTTTGCAAATGAAAAGGGATCTGTTGTACTGAAAACGACAAGCTTGGTGCTCTGGCATGGTACGGATGCTGATCGACTTGTGTCCGCGGCTGCACAGCATAGAATTGTAGGTCAGTGAAAGCCATTTTCAGATAATCCGTTTTGCTTACTGAGCTATAAGGTGCAGCACAGCCTGTGTGAGACCCTGAAGCGCAGGTGCTATGCGAAGGTATTCTTTCACCGGGGGTCAAGAAGAATTGGTTGACATAATCACAATCCACAGCTTGCAATAGTAGTGGTGATTGGATATCAGAATCGTCCAGGAGCTCGGAAGACTCAAGGGCATCGTATTCCCATGAGTTCTCGAATACATCTTTGACTTTTGATGTGGCGGACTGTTGATCCTTTGATTCAACGGCGCACTGCGTTGCAAGTGGTGTGATGCATCTTGTCCGCTCTGACACCTGAAAACAAACACAGTGTGAGCGTAAAGAATTGCAAATAAATAAGTAACTGGTATATTTCACCACTCTGGGAGACACGGCCCATTGAGCATATGTCTATCCCGGATACAATCGAAGTTGTGAGCGTAAACGTTCGTTCCCACAGAAACGTTGTGGGAACTATGTCTCCGCTTTCTCAATTTAAGCCAGAAGATTCTGTCAGTTTCAATCCTCCCTCCCAGCAGTGCTTATCCCTGAAAGACTCATTTAATACCTCATTTAATCACAATTGCGATTTGAACCAGTCTGGCGCGTGTGGGATGCCTCTTAAAAATGGCCACCCCAAAAAATGCGCACAGCTGTTTTCAGCATGTGGAACAATGCGCCTGACGCGACCTCTGCTGGAAACTTGACCACGACCATACAGCGCAGATGTGTGAGACACTCACTTCTTCACCGGAATTAATCAGGCGCCGCGCCAAACGCTAAGTACTAGGTGGCAAGGTCAACTCAAGTAAATATAAGCTTTATATACATAAGAGGGAATAATTTCAGCATTTTACAATATCCACTGCGGATGTTTTAAGTAAACATCATTAAAAATGCAAAATTGCAGTTGCAACTATAGCTTTAGGACTGCAAACACCACTCAAATAAATTATCCCGAATCTGCACCCCGCTAGTCAGTTTATCGATCCCGACGAGGGCTTCTAAAGTTACAAAATGTCTTCTGACAACGTTAGGGGATACATGCAAGATCTCAAAGTCCATTTACAACACTCAGCGTAGGAAAGCATTATTGTCCTTGTAACTAGTCTATCGAAAGAAAATGTCAAAGTGTTCCCTGGAAACTGATAAATCCGCAGCAGATAAAGTAAGTGCGATATTGCAGTGAATAGGAAGTGGCCAATTTAAGGGCAAGGTTGTCTACGAATAAATGTTACATTGGTGATCGTAAATCTGGAAATCAGTATGGATGCTTAAAATAAGTGGCAAATAGTGAAAGAAACATTGATGTTGTGCCCAATTCACTACCAAAACTTTGTACGTGAATTGAACGTCGCAGGTTAGTGGGTTGTGATTTTGTAGGACCGAGTAGAAGTGAATCACCTGAGTAGGCCAGACACTGATTCGGACCTCCGTGTTTTTCTTTGATCTAAGTTCACAGCAGGCGTGGGCGGTGCATTATGGAGCATCCGTATAGTAGTATTAGCCACTCAAACTGAAGAAAATGGATCGCGAAGGAGATCTACGCAACTGATCGGAGGCTAACCGAACAGACCCTCACATTGGCCGCACTGTGATCGAACTGCACTAACACTGCTCGGCTGGTTGGTTAATAAGGTTTCGCCATTCTGCAGCCGATTACCTGACGGTTGTTTTAATTATTCTTGGTGATGGTATCGCGGATTTGTGGTATAGCTCGACAACATGTGTGTCAGAAAGCTGGATGCTCTGCATCCTACGCATTTCACTGACTAATCTTTTCCCAATGAACCTTATAGGCCCTATAAAGTTGTATGCTGCAAAATCTGACGTTTGGCAATGTGGAAAAAATGCCGGAAAACGGTTTTGTTTGACATTGAGGACCATGTGGGGACCAGAGGTTAGCACCAGAGGCAATCGGATATGCACGTCTTCGTCTAACATTTCTATTAAGCCACGTTAAAACGTTCTGACTTGTTCGTTTATAGTCGAGAGTATATTACCTTGGACGGTCAAAGCTGTACATACAAGTAGGCAAACTTAATTTGCTCTAATTGAAAATGCAATCAAAGCGTTATTCAGATCTGTACACAGTGAAAACATGATAAGAGATTCCATGGAACATCTAAGTAAGTAACGTTTTTTTGGTTTTCTGACCTGTGTGGTAATTTATTATGTATGCCTGGTCAGAATGAGGTAGATTGTACAAAGAAACCCACTGTGCTAGATGTCGAAAGCTTAGGTGTAGACATCCAGCAGAAGGCATTTATATATCTTGACTGTCTCGTCCCCTCATAAATCATATTTGCCTAGGAACACTGATGCGTAGGAAGATAGTAGATCCTAGCACGTAAAGCAAGAGCAAGTCCCCACTTAGCTCAGTATTCCATGACGAGAGGCGATCATGAACGATGGGAATTTGTTCTAGTGACAAGGTCACATCGGATTGAAAACGATTGGACCATTCAGTAGACCGAGTCGACGTTTGAGCGACGGCCGTGACGTGTAGCCCTCCGGGAAGCAAGAAAAGTGGGCCGCGATCAGGAAGTCATTTATTAAGATTATGCTCGAATATTTATAGAGTATGTACACTATTTACAACAGTCCGTCTCAATGGCTCATCCCTGTTATTTGCATTGTGTTGCTGGCTCCCTTTCCATTGGTTTATGCTTGCTCGCCACGTTCACTCTGTCTAAATCACCTTGACTTTCTTAGTGGATGTACGATTGGCGGGATTGAGCCCGCGCGCTTCTTCCCTCGGTCCAAATGCCACAAGCCTTGGCTCAAGGGTGCACGAGTATGCGCTCCTTCGCCTGCTGGCGCCTAATTGGTCACTTGCACGTTCAGTGGCTTGTTTCAGGTTGGACGCGATTACGGGCCAACTATTTCCTGATTAGCTGACCAATTTTCTTCCGGCAACATGCTCACTCCTTAGCGGTCTGGCCTGTGACGTTCGATCGGCATTATAGCATTTCCAACCGCCAGCATTTCCAGCCCCCATCACAGGCCACATAGCGGGCAACAACTGTTAGGAAATACTAACCAGTACGGTTAAGGTGTGTGCACTGGTGCATCCATAACTCCAGCGTAAGCACCGATGACCAAGGCTAATGACATGGTATACATATCCGGAATGTTATGACCTGAAATAATCCAAGTAGGTAGATAGAATACCAAAGTGTGGTGCATAGGACAGACAGTAATGGTGTACTTAATTCCAAGTTCTACCAAACGGACAATTACACTATATGCTTCACGGACGCGTGACTCACCGACGGTTGGCTATGCGGTCACAGCCTGAGTGGATCTGGAAAAAAGCTGATATGAAAAAAACGGATTCCCCGTTTCGGTTAGATTTCCGTACGCCACATTGAACTCAAACGGTAGTTCTACTCTTCGCAAATATCCCAAAATATGCCTCTCCCTAAAAGACCATTTTGTCGTACCTGATGATAGTAACTGTTTAGTTGCAGAAATTGATCTTAATCATACTAAATTTGCTTAAAACTGGAGCATGGTACGCACTATATCCTGGTTGTTAATTCGGCCACGTGGACAACTTCTGCGTCCAGAACCGCGTAGTGTAAGTCGCCAACTGTAAGTTGAGCAGTAATGATGTCGAATGCAGAATGATCCACTGGCAAGCGCGGACTTTCGACGAGCCCCATCTGAAGTGGATGTAGGTGCACCGCCTTGTTGGTTAGTGGTAGCTGCACGGTCGAGTCTGGCAGTGATGGAATCGATTGAAACTCGTTCTAACGGCCGTTCAAGTGGCCCTGTGTAAGCTTATAATTGCCTAATTACTCTGGCTGACTAAATAAATTTCTACTGTGAACCACAATCTGATCGTCGAAAGGGGATAAGCAAGTGTTAAGTTACTTGCAACTGCTATGTACCTGCTGACGATACAGTTTACATGATACAAATGTTGCAGATCCCAGCCCAAAAGAGCTCTCCAAATCAAAAGACGAAGAAATTACCAACGCGTCTCAGTACGACCAGGGTGAGACACAACCTATAGTTCTGTACTGGTTCTGAGTACTTTTACTAGACAATCGACATTCATGATTGGAACACTCAGGTCAAAATCGTCTGACGTTGGTAGCCGCTCTCATTGGTTAGCTCTCAGAGTCTGCATTCTCGTTGACTGCTTCTGGCCAAAACACGATATCTCATACGTTGGCTAGCCGGAATCGATGTCACTAATCTTACGTAACAGCTGAAGTGGAAATGAATGACTTCTATGGGCGGTCCCCTAAAAAACAGTGGAAATACTTAGCTGTAGAGTAGGCCACAATGATGTTTAAGGTAGGAAAGCCACTGGCCAATAACTAGACATTCGGTCGATGCAAGTTATCAACAGAAACGTTGTACACTGGACCGGAGCACTATGTGCTCCACATGGAGGTATATCTGTCATTCGGAGGCTACCTTGTGGCGGCTGATGATATCTTCAGACAAGGCGTTCACTGTCAACGGACTAATTGATTCGGACCCGAGTAGTTGATCACAAGTGTAGGAAGGAAAGCAATGCGACAGATGATGGTTGACTAAAAGCTACCGTGACAAGCAACAGTGTGGCGAGGACGGCCAGTACAATTTCGCCTTTAAATGCAAGGCCAGATAAGAAATAAAAATGATCGAGAAAAGAAGGCCGCGATGGCATACCCGCACCATAACTGAATCAGGCTTCCTTTTATACTCCATGGTAGTCGATGAAGGAAAGTTCGGTTGGAGACACAGTCGATCAGGAAACGCAAGACTCATTTTCGGTCAAGCTTTAGTGCATTTGTAGGTTAGCAGGATGTGAAATTGATGGGGCTTGTCGTCATGCCTAGGCTAATGACAACGGTGAATCATCAGCGGTAATCAGGACGATGAGTGCAATCTTATTATGCTTAGGTTAATAAATCTTTCACGGGACAGTACACATCTCAAGATCAATACAAATGTACCTCCAGCTTCGGAGATGGCTACGTCCGTACATTGACTCGTTTAGGTGATAGAATCAATGAACACATCAATGGATAACGCACCAAACTTAAGGGAATCGAGGGATCTAGTTGCCTCGGTAGTCACATGACATTTGCTAGGTGCTGCCCAACAAGGCTACACCGATGATTCATTCAACTTCCTATGCGCAATCGGCTTCCCTTAATTCGCTGGCTGCTGGAAGCCATTGTCATCGATTAGCAGTGGTAAATGCTGGGCGTGCGGAACCAGTAGACTGTGATTGGTCATTGGCTGCACATTTATCGATCGCGTGTGGTCTCCTTTTTGAGATGTCTATAGTTGGCTGTACGTTTGCGACTGGTTAGAATGCAGGACATGACCGTGTCTTTTCAAATCTTACGGCTTTCAAGCTTTTTGTCTAAAACTATAAGGATGATTTTTTGCTTGAAACTGAGCGCTTAGGGGAATCAGTTGGTGGCGGGGGCTCCGGTGCCCTATAGCTGCTCCGAGGTTGATGGGGCCGGTCACAAACGTGGTTGGTTGAGGAGAATGTTGTGTGTGAGTATGGATTCACGCTATTACACGTTCGGTTTCTCCGATTAGTCCATTACAATTATAGCCAACGCCAAAGCCCTGATCCTCATCCACACTCAGAATGGGTGAAAAGCAAATGCGGCAGTCTCACCCAGTGTGTCTTCAAGTTGGACGCCAAGGGTAATAAATCCTGCACCGTTTCGCAGATCTCACGTTTCCTCGGCCGACCACGCTTCCTGGGCGGCACATGAAGATGAGTGCCGTTCAGCTGTGTAATGGCTTTATTAATCTATAGAAAAGGAAACCAAAAGGGAACATAAAGTGAGACTCCAGTGTTTGTGATCGGGTGCAGGTATACAATACGGACATCGATAGGAAACAGTGAAGTCATGATAAAAATGTGCTTTTTACATTTAATTTCACGCGTTACAGGAAGGTTGAGACACTTCAGGATTGCAGTAAACTTTTCATCGTTTCCGAAAGTCGTCTTGGAATCATTCCAAACTATGGCTTTTGTCACATACATAGAGGACCCGAGGAGCACGTCTGCGTTTATCGGTCCCAACTAAGCGGAATACTGTGGTAGCATTCGCGCAGCATGTGTGATTCGAAAAACTCACAGCGCCTCTGCACTGTAATCGCATGGAATGGAGTCAAGCTCGCACAGACTCTTGTGGCACCTAACTACTATGCAGTGATTAGTAGTGTCCTTGCAAAAAACCACTATTTAAGATTTCGTATTGTCTCGTCAGTGCTAATACAATAACAGGAAAATATATATAACAACAGCTAGGGTGTGACCGGATAAAATAGAGAAACACCCCATACTGCCAGGTAGATGGTGTAGCAATGGGGAGTCCATTGGGTCCCGTATTAGCGGATTTCTTTATGTCCATGGTAGAGACAAAGATGAGTGCATAAATTTCCCGCCTTTCCTACTACAAACGTTACGTTGACGATATCTTAGTGTTCTAGTGGTCAACAACAGAGATTGCACGTCTTGTCGAACATTTCAATAGTGCACATACAAATTTGAGAGTAACCAACGAAATAGAATGTAACAACTGTCTCCCATTTTTGGACTTACTGATTAGTCGTAGAGAAAACGGTCTCATCAAACGATCTGTTTATCGAAAACCAACATGGTCCGGGCAGTACCTGCATTTTACCAGCTTCATTCTAATGCGGTACAAGTGGACACTAGTCAAGACCTTGTTCAATCGCGCAAGAGGAATATGCAGCCCCGGAAGAGGAATAGGAGCTGTTGACTAATACGCTCTTGAAAAACGGTTGTCCTCGCCGGTTTATCGTAAAACATAGCCAAACGAGAGTGGCCAGAGAAAAGGTCCTCACTGTGGCCAAAAAGAAGATCTTTATAGAACTACCGTTTAAAGGTGATCTTGCCACCATGAGGACAACCAAGCGATTAATTTCCGCTGTTCACAGGACTTATTTCACTGCCGAAGCTGTCCTTATTAACCGAACCAACAAAGTGCCTGTTCCCCTAACGAAGGAAAGACAACCTTTCGGCACCAGTACACACTGCATTTACTAATTCACTTGTAGCTTCGGGTCAAGGTACGTAGGCCGTACCGAGAGAATGTTGAATTCCAGACTAATGAAACATGTACCTAAGTGGATGCAGCGTGAAATTATCCAGTCTTCCACTTCGTCTACCATCTGTTCACGAAAGGCACCTGCCTCATCCATAGGTAGACATTTATTGTCCCCTTGTCATGCATTCGACCCTGCGACGCAGTTCACAATCTTGTTGAGACATGCTAACAGCCGCATCCTTCATTTCGTCAAGGCTGTCGCGATCAGCAGGCTCAAACCGGCACTCTGTGTGCAAAAGCAGTTGTTTGTAAGCTTAAAGCGCCCATCGACGTAAGGGTGGCAAAGCTGTACCACACCATGTCTCTATCTTATCCGGTCACATCCTAGCTGTTGTTATTTATGTTTTCCTGTTATTGTATTGGCACTGACGAGACAATACGAAATGTCAACATCTGCCAGCTTTCGTCTTCTCACAGCGTTGTTTAAAATGCTCAAGGGAACTAATTGTTTCAAACCATTTAAGAGTCCAGTTGTGTGTCGCTAATCTAGGTCAACGAGCACGCCTTTTACGATTTACGCTTAGCTGTTACGATCGGATGTTGCTGCCAGGAAAGCACGGTTCACAGAAAATGAGGTAAACAAAGCTAGTTGACAAATCTGTCACTGACTGTACTTTTCCCTATTACTACTCAGCTCGTCATCGGACAGAAACTAGCTGTTTGTACTCCATGTCCGTGTTTCGTTCCGAATTAGGTTAGTGGGCGCACTTCATATTGGGCTGGACGTGAGGCTTATGGGATGTATAACAATATACGAGTGAACATATGCTCTCTTATTTCGGCCAACCTCGTCTTCCAACTGGACGTCTTCTGCTGGGCTTGTGTTAAGGTCTCCGAGGTGCATTACGAGGCAACGCGTGTACCAAGCCAGCAGTGACACAGTGTTGGTACCACCTTTCGTAAAGCCCCATGTCAACCTTGGGCACTAACAGTATCGATAGTAATAATTTATTTCTTCTCAATTGGCTTATAGGCCCAATAGACAAACTACCATTTCGGAAAAGCACCAGAAGATCGTTTCGCTTTTTCGTGGCTAGTCAGTGTTGAGCACTACCTCATTTGCCTGCCGAGGACCGACCAATGACCGTCAGTGGCTTGCACCGTGGAGCCAGCAGACTATGACACTGAGCCTTGAGGACGATAACTGACCATCATGGCTTGAAGTCTAACTACGATACAACCCGACTCATCATCCGCTGCCATGCAGGTTGTTACCCGTGAAGAGGACAAAGGTTGGTCGTCCGAGTCAGGACTTTTCTTACTAGTGCTGTGAATCCGCATAGCACTTCGAGGAGTGGTAAGGCTTAGTATTTGATTACTAATGAGTAGATAGATTTGGCCATGATTTTATTTGGTTCATCGCAACCAGATTACAAGCCGCATAGCTAAGTCACCAATCCGGAAAAGCATCAGATTGGTCAGTAGTGTGTATTCTACCCGTTCCCTGCTGGGGATCGAATCCATGAAAGATAGTGGCTTGTAATACTAGCTAGCAGCTTAAGACACTGAGCCATGAACCAACAACTTGTGCTTGGATTGTGCATGCACAAGAGCGATACAGATATACATGACGAAGCAGGCGGCCAGCTTGCCGAAAGCGAACAGAGCAGTTGCTTGGACGTCTAAGCATATTTCGCATATGCATTGATTGGTTCTTATCTGGTTACGCTGGAGCACTTTTTGTTTAACCGATTCAAAGGAAGAATCTCATGAATGCAGTAACGTTGTTAGTTATAGAAATGACCCGGTTATTTACATCGAGTTCTTACATGCTTGTTACGCTGCCACATTCGTTGAAAGAAAGAAAGAAGAAAGGTGTCAGCTTATATGCCGTAACGGCGCTTCGCTGCCGCGCGACCACCACCAGTCGCGCGCGGGCTGAGCATACCGCGAGGACGCCCACCCCTACGCGGAGTCGAACCGGTGACCTTATGGTTGCAAAGCAAACATGCAGACCACTCGGCCACCGGCCGACATTCGTTGATCCTCCTTTGTTAAATAAACCGCTTGTCTCTGAAGCACCGAGCTTTGCGACATGGTGTAAGAGACGAAGGCAAGATCGCCGAACAAGGTTCGGTTGACGATTAGAGCGCAGCCAGCCATCCAAACACCTGCCCCATTGAATATGGAAGAACACAACTTGACCAGCAAGTGAAGAATCTGGAAAAGCAAGCGGATCGATTTTCGCGTACTGGTGGGTCCACATGAACAACCGATGGCTTATCGCCTGGCGATGTTTCGACATACGATCGGAAATGAAGTACGCCGCGAACTGGAAACGATGCAGTATGAAAAGGACAAAGACTCAGCTGATCTGGAAACAGCCATCCGAAAATTCGGCGATTTCTGCTTGGGCCAGACTACGAGCCGTATCGACGGTATCTTTTTTACTAGAAACAGGCGCCCGAATGAATCTATCGAGAACTATGTTACGGAGATAAAGATCCTGGCTCGTGCCTGTACTTTTAGCAATCAATAGGGTGACAGTCTCATTCGAGATTGAATCATGCTGGGGACCAGGGATGAAGACATCACCAAGCGGATGTTGCGGCAACGGCGGTTATCGCTAAAGCCATGCCGTGATATTTGCTTTAAAGAATCGTCGGCTACATCCCACAGCCAGCAAATGTGGTTGTCGTCCAAAGCAGAGCCATGCGCCATGTCCAATTTACCTGACAAAATTGCGAAGCCTGTTACCAAAACACAATAAACTTGAAAATTCTGCACTGCGCAACACCCGAAGCATCGTGATCAATGTCCGGCGTGGGGTCGAATTTGCGCCAAATGTGGCAAAAGATATCATTTCGCTCGGTGCGGCCAGTCCTCCAAAAGTGAATGCACTCAGTTGTGACACAATACCCCTCCAACACGGATCATTCAATCAGCAATGTGTCGCTGACGGGGCCAAAGATGTGTGTCAACGCGAGTTAATTGGTTGGTGAAGAAATAATTTAGTTCCAGTTAGACACCGGTGCTACCGTCAAGATAATACCTGCGAAGCGGGTGTGCACGAATTCCTGTGCGACCAGAACAAGGGTTTTACGCATGTAGGACTGCTCCAAGCTACAACCGAAGGGCATGGCTACAATCGAAGTGATCAATCCCAAAAACGGATCCTCATATCGGTTGGATTTCAAGGATCTTGTCACCCCAAGCTTAAACACACCATAGGCTCTACCCCCAAGAAATCAGCATACTGACGCAGTTCCAGGAAAACCGGACATTTGGTCTCAGTGGTTTCTGTGATGGGATTGTGTAAGCAAAAGAACGATACGGATTTACATGGAAAGGAAGGCGGCTGGCTTGCTGCAAGCGAACAGAGCATTTGATTGGGCGCCTAAGCATATTTCGAGTACGCGATGATTGGTTCTTATTTGGCTACGTTGGAGCGGTATTTTTAACTTATTCCAAGGAGGAACCTCATGAGTGCAGCAGGATCGTTAGTTATGGAACGGACTTAGTTATTTATGTTTAGGGTCCTACATCCTTGCCCAGATGTCATTTTCGCTGTGCCCGATTTGTTGAATAAGGTCAGCGCGAGAAGGGATCCATGAAAATCTTTCAGGTGGATGAGTGACGTCCGCGGATTGGGTACAAACATTTGTACAGCCAGAGAGCAGTGAATCTAGTTAGCAGCAAGTCTTATCCACCAACTCCTACTGTTGTTAAACAAGTATTTGTGGCTATGCGTAGGGAAAATACTTGCCAGATAGAAATGCAGCGCGTCCCGGAACATTGTCGACGAAACATTTGCTGGAACAAGATCTACCTAAACCACCAAGATGGCACGATGAGGAGGTTGTTTACCACCCGAGTGGGTAGAGGAGACAGCTTAGCGGACCTTGGGCCCTTTCGGTTTGAGCAGCTTTCAGTTTCGGTCTCGTGTCAAGCCACTTATCTCAAACCGGAAACGCTGCAACTATATACTCCCAAGTTCACATCTTAGTATGCGCCTGATAAAGATGAGGTCTCTACGAAGGCTACGGTATTCCGTGAAATAGAGATTTCTCTCATGGAGCCGGAGGAGTAGGAGAATCACGAAGCCCAGATCCGAACTGAAAGCCATGCCTCTGAACATTTTCTATTAAGGCACAGTCAAGCTTAGAGAGTAGGAATGCACCAAGGAAAAAGTACACAGTACTGCACCTTTTGCTTATCGGGTTACCTCTGGGTTATGTGGACAGTGGACTTAGCGGTCACTTTCATTACCCATAGGACAGTTTTACCATGCTAGTTCGATAGTACTACAGCAACAACACATTTCCAGCAGTATTTCAGCTCGCAGTACTAAGTGGTTTCAGAGAAACTCAGTACTGTAAAATGTCGCTATAACGAACGCCAGCATAACGAAATATGCAGAATTGCGGAATTATTTTGAGACTCATCCCCTTCTTCCTAGTTATTGTATGTTAAAACATTGCAATGTAACGGGATTCGAAATTTCCGTATAATGAATGAGAAGTTTACCTTTTTTCCTATATTTAACTTAACTTTTTCTAAATATACTTGAAATTCATCCTGTTTTATAATATATATTTTTTGCTTATTATATTATCTTATTCAGATGATATGGTAGACATTTTTCATACATGTGCGCGATTGGTCGAGCAGGATAGTGATTTGAAGGTAACCAATGGTTATGCCATTAAATATGCTTTGCGCATCTTCCAGTGCAAGATGTAACACTATTGGCTAAGTAGGAGCGCAAAGTTTAAAGGCAACCAATGAGCGATGCGATTTCACATCTCTGTCTTACCATCTCGTTTATTCACCTCGCATCTCGCTTTGTCGCATCACGCGCTCATTTCGTTCCGCAGCGTGTAAAGTTGTGTACGTGTTAACTTAATAACGACAATATGGATAAAAAGAAACGACAGCTGTTGGCTTTGGAAGAAAACCACGAAATATTTGGAAGTTGAGACCGGATAAAACAATGGATAAATAGCGAAGAAGTATGGCACTAGCCTTCCAAATTTACTTTTCTAAAGTAGGAAAGTAAGATATAGAAGAATATTGATGCCGATGCCCTTGGCCCGCAGAGAAAGAAGATGAGGACAGCAGTATACGAGGCGGTGGACAAAACAGTTCATAAGTGGTCTGTTGAAATGCGGGTCAAAAACATCCCTATAAATGGCGCAATATTATGTGAGCATGCGCGATCCTTCACATATTCGCTTGGTTTCGCTGAATTCATGGGGAGTACTGGTTGGCTTCATAGGTTTTTGAAAAGATATGGCATTTACCATAAGACGATAAATGGTGAAACTAACGATGCCCCAAAGGAAGTTCCGTCTTCTTGGCGGCTGCTGACCCTAACAGCTGCTTTGAAAGTATATTCGCCAGCGGACATTTATAATGCAGATGAGACGGCATTATACTATAAATTATTGCCGGACAAAACCCTTGACTTCGAAGGAAATAAGTATTTGGGGGGATAAAGTTCAGAAGAACGGATAACTGTTCCTTTGTGCACGAACTCCAAGGGGACGGAAAAACTGAAGCATCGCATAATTGCGAAGTTTGGGAAGCCGATGGGACTTCAAGGGCGTGCAATATCTCCCCTGTGAGTGCAGGCACAACACCACAGCATAAAAGACATCCATAATTTTCGAAGAGTGGTCGTTTTAGCTGGGACGTCGGATGAAGGCCGAAAAGAGGAGAATTCTTCTCATCGTTGACAATTGCTCCTATCATAACTGTGCGCCTCGCCATTTAGAGCATGTGAAAGTTTCATTTTTGCCCCCAAACGACCGCAGCCGCTGGATCAGGGTGTAACTCATATAGTAAAACGGCATTACAGAGCTCGTGTGGTCCGGCGTATGCTGTGCAATATTGCCTCGTTGAGAGACACTAATGCGAACACATTAGAAGCAATGCAGCTATTTAGTGCTGTCTGGAGAGCACTGAAAGAAAAATCATCGCAAACTGCTTTAGAAAAGCCGGAGTTCTTCATGCAGAAGACGACATCCTTGAAAATGAAGCGTTGGATTACACAGAAACAGAAGCGTCTGTGTAAACAGTCGAATGGGCCAACTAGCGTGAATTTTCTGACTACCTCAATGTGGACTGTGATGTGATAGTGCAAAAATAAATCACGGATGATGGATTTTGGAAAGTGTTATGAGTGATGGAAATCCTTTTGCTGATTAGGCGGAAGAAAAAGTGCCCCAAAGTGGTCGGCAGAGTTTGATTCCTGTGCAGGTCGTGTATACAAGGCCACAGTGAGGGCCTTTCTGCTCTATGGCAATGAGATTTGCCCCCTTCGGTCTGAAGATCTGAGGCGCTTTCAAGTCTTTGATCATCGTTGTCTGCGGAGCATTGCTGGAGTCGGGTGGCACCAGCGTGTCCCCAACGATGATGTGCGTAGGCGAGTACTAGGTAGTGATAATCATGCTAGCTCCCTAAAACAACAGATAGCACTGAATAAGTTGTGTTGGCTCGGGCACGTGCTACGTATGCCTGGTCACCGCTTACCTAGGAGAGCCTTGGTTAGTCTGCCAGCTGTAGGGTGGCGCAAGGCTCGAGGTGGGCAGAAGTTGACTTGACAGCGAGAAATGAAGTCACTGACGACCAAACTAGGTGCCAATGGTCTATCTCGCCTTCCGAGCTGGAGTCCACGTGACTCGCCTTGTGCTTGGCTCGAGACTTTACAGGACATGGCTCGCAACCGACACCAGTGGCGCGTCTGCTGCCGTCTACTAATCGGATTGTCTGTTTAAAGTGTGTTTGGTGCTGAGTTATCTGCGAGGTAATGGCTGATTATGACGCGGGGTAGTGAAAGGCGCGAGGAAGCTGTCTCGCTGATACCGCCTTTCCTTTGCACGATAGCCAGCTGTTTGTGACGGTATCTTGTTAACACAAGCTGTAGGCGCCTTGATCCTGAATGTTTGTTTAGGGCATTAAGGTTTTCAGGTAAGTCCCCGTTCTCTATCTTTTCTTATTCTTTATTTCATTTGTCCTCATGGTTGTATGGCAGCGAAGCATCAGTTCCAATGGCTGATGTACTGCTGTTGTTGACTGATTCATTGTAGGCAACGAACATTTGCGGTGGCTGGTGACTAGCTTGAACGGCCTTTGGTGTATGAGTGTTCAGAAGAAAATCACAGATGTTTTCCCAAAATAAAAGTCCGGAAGATTGTGTACAAGGTAAACATTTGATATGACGAAAAAGTACAGAAAACCTCTCGCAATTACGGTACACATATCATTTCTTGGATATATATATATATATATATATATATATATATAACTTTCGTCACATATAATAAATATTAAGCTTTTTGTCTGTAAATTTATGCTGAAGTAAGGTGGATCCTATAGTGGATATAGCAAGTGGTGAGTTCTAGAGAATTGACTTCTTTCAGTGTAAAAAGTTCACTATAACCACTCAAGTTGGGAAGTCCCCGTAATTTCGTTATACTGGTATTTCACTGTACTATTTGCAACAACAAGACGCTGGTGGAACGGTTGGAGACAATGTGCTTTCGGTTGTTCGGAAGTCGTCACTACTGTGCAATTTGTTGATGCGACATCTTTTTAAAAACAGGAAACACCAACTCACCTGTATGGGTAAGAGAAGGGCGTTTTGTGCCTCCTCGGCTGCCGCTTCAATCCGCTTTCGAAATTTCCTTTGATGCTATCAGAGTGAACAAAAGGGTAACATTAAGTGAGAAGCAACTGAATTATTTTGTAAGTTTCGATTAGATTCATTATGGCTAAACTCAGACATAGAGCCACTACCATACAGAAAAGCACCGATAGGTCGCTTCGTCCTATTTTACCGGCTCGTAGCCCTAAGGATAACTAGCTTGCCTTGTAATCTGAAGGCGAGGGGTTCGAGGCTGGTAGGGACCAGGCGACCCTCGCTGTATCCTTAGCCCACGTTCAACCGGTGGTGGTTGCGCAACAGCGAAGCGTCGGTAGTGCGTACCGACCTACTGTTGATGCATCGCTTCGTCTTACAGGGTCCAAACAAGAGCCAGTACTGCCTCCCATACGGGATCCTTCGAGACCGGAAATGTAGATTTTTTGGAATGAACCAAATCCGCTAGGCAACTGGGGACCGCGGTAGTCTAATTCGTTAAGTCAGTGGCACATGATGCATGACATACTCCAATTCTATACCCCTACTGCAGTGCAATTACCTGGAGATGATTTCGTCATTGGGCCGCCGACAACGTCACGGTTATCATACGTTTCTTGAGCAGCTACTGACAAATTGCAGCAGTCATGTCTGAGGAGAGAAAACGGTCAGTCGGCGACTGTGCTGCCCCAACACCTGCGGCCCAAAAGTCTGCACGCGCGTATGCTTCGACTACCTCTCAGATAGTGACGCAGTATGGACCGTAACTACTTGACTTCTTGGGTCCTGACATATACAATGAAAATAAACTCTTTGTATCAAGCCAAAGATTTGAGACGTTACGAAATCGTCGACAAAGCTTTTCGTCGTAGCAACCCGGATGATACTGTTAAGTTTAATATACGATATCCTGGTCCGTTAATAAAACGCCGACAATAAAATAGACGGCCATACTTACATACTATTTGAAGGCAACCTGGACCAGATTTCAAACTACGGGGTCAGATAGTAATAGTATTGCGCCGGCTTTTGAAGCTCACTATCCTCCCCCTTTGTGGATAGGCTTCGCCCTGGAAGTTTGTCAATCTGTCCGATACATATTTTCGGTTTAAGGTAGTAATAGGCCAGGTAGGTGTTACACTTCTGCTTGCAACAGTGAACTTCAAAAGATATCTAGTGTCCATTTACATTCATCAGGTGTAACTAGATTCCGAGGTGCAGAGATTACAACTGGGTTGGTAACGCTAGTGCACACGTTAACCGTTTGATTGGTTCAATGACAACAGAGTTGTCGGCCAATAAGATAGCGATGATCAAGTGGAAGACACTAAGTCATCTCTAAGGGAAAGTAGGGAGGGTCGAGTAGCTAGCTTAACTGGTCTCTTGTCTGTCACCACGCGGACGTAAAATAACCGGGGTCTCGTACTCTAATCGGATTTATTGACACACCTCTCATCATACACACACGTGTTTACATTCATTTGATCCAGCTTCATCAACGCCATTTAGTGCCTTCCATCTCTCGGATCTATCTCGTGTGGATTACCTGTAATTTCAATATCGCGATTCTTGCACTGTTCTCGCGGCAAGCGAATCGAGGAATTTTCCAGGCTCCAGACAACAAAGCAGTATTGTTGGTCTCAAACGAAAGTCAACTCAGAGATCTAAGTGAAGAGCCTTTAGCTACAGCTGTCAACCGCTAAGCGAATTGGCTATCCGGCATTTTGTCCCCGTCGCTTACTCGCTATATTTAAAACGCAGAGCTTAACGAGTAAACAATCCATTCGCTCAATCCTACCCTGCCATCCGTGCACGCACCGAACGCGTTGAACTTGAATATACAGAGCCAGATAGACAAGCGCACCACTGACGGAAAAGGCATCAATCGATGCAATGGTTTTTAACGACCAACCAACTGTTGCCCCATATTCTACACCGAGGTTGACAGTAGTATGTGGTTTTCCTTCATGCCATAAAGACGTACGAACCGGAATTCAATGTAGGAAATGCGGAAGAAAGTTCCATACTACATGTGTAATTCTCACATGAAGATACATACTAATGAACCAGATTATCTATGGTTCTGTGAAGTATGTATAGTCAGCTCACTGATAAAGATTGTGAATGAACTAGCGCAGGAAAGGGAAAGACTGGTGGCAATCATGGAAGAAATGACGAAGACCAAAGTTGATTCATTTGACGAAAGTTTGACATTGAGCAAACCCCGGAACTTTCCATTAGGCTCTGCATCAAAACAGCGGAAGAATGTTGGGCAGAGCGTCAGAAATGTGTCTCCTGTGGCTGCCCACACTACCTGTTTTTTAAAAACGGCCCGACTATGCATTGCAAGACATACATTAGCTGATTTGACTTCTGTTCACTTATTGACGACAGGGCACAGACAGATTATGTGCTCTCCAAATCCCACGAAATCAGTGTAAACGGATATGTATACGTGGGTGAACACATGCACATGTGTTCAGAGAGGTTTGGTAACAATCGGCTGGTATAATTGTTTGGTAACGTTTCACTTCGTCAGACCAGGTGAATAAGTGTGCACACATGAGTAGGGGATTTTGATGTAATTAAGGGAGGTTCATCGCAGCCAGTTTTCAAATCAGATAGTCGTCCAAATGTCAGGAAAAGCACTAGATTGTCGTTTCAACATGTTGGGCATCGTCAGTAGTGCGCATTCATCGGATCCACCAGGATTCGAACCCATGACCACCAGCGGCTTGGACTGCCAGTCAGCAGCTTATGCCATTGGGCCACGGGGGACAGCTTCGGACCGTCATGAGTTACAATCTAACTGCGATATAGTGCGTCTTATGTGGACCACTATGTGATTTGGAAACTGGCTGCGATGAATCTCCCTTAATTACATCACAATCCCCTACTCATGAGTACCTCAAAATATATCCGCCCTGACAGTTTCTAGACGCTATGTCGTACATAGTTACCGTTAGTGGACGTCGTGTCTTTCGGGGACAACCCTGTCCTCTGCAACGTTCGTAACTTGCATGGCTTACCGAAGATTCACAAGGCCAACACACCTTTAAGACCTGTACTATCTATGTGTAATTCACCATACCACAAGTTGGCACGTTGGCTAGTTGATCTACTTACACCGGTGAAACGAATGATGACAAAGTACACAGTGAAGGATACATTCGACCTGATTGACTGTGTGCAAAACATGAATATCGCTGACAAGGTAATGTGTTCAATGGACGTGCAGTCTTTGTTCACTAACATCCCATTAAGAGAAACGGTGGATTTCTTATGTGTTTATAATGAGTAATAAAGTAGTGTTACCGATTCCCGTGGAATATCTTAGGGATTTGCTGCTACTCTGCACTGAAAATGTGTATTTCTTATTTGAAGACAAGCCGTATCGACAGGTGGATGGTGTAGCTATGGGAAGTCCGCTAGGTCCGGTATTGGCTGACATTTTCATGACGATGGTTGAAATGAGATGTGAGCAACACATCAATCAAAAGTGTTTATACAAGCGATACGTAGATGACACATTAGTGATCGCCCCAAGTGGAGACGCTGTTCTATCTTTCCTCAACGTGCTTGATAACACACATCCCAACGCCCGTTTTACCTGCGAACTGGAGGATAACAATTGCCTTCCGTTTTTGGATGTGTTGTTGACCAGACGAGAAAATGGCTCCATTAAGCGTTCTGTACACAGGAAATCTACATGGACAGGATTGTATGAACACTTCAACAGCTTCGCCCCTATACAACACAAGTGGTGCTTAGTCAAGAAGCTGTTTAATCGAGCCCGCAGAATATGCACTGACGACTGTTTGGAATCGGAATTGCTGTTTATCACACAGACGCTACGAGCCAACGGATATCCAGAAGCGTTTATTCGATTCCACGGTCAACTGAAGGAAAACAGGCCGACGGTACTTACTGTGCCCAAATTGTCTGTCTACCTTCAATTACCTTTCAAAGGTGATATCGTGGCCGCCCAACTCGAAAGTCGTGTGCATACAGCGATTCGGCGGGCATTCAACGCAGCCAAATTCTGTCCCATTTGGGAGACCAGAAAGTTACCTATGCCTCCAGTGAAGCCTACTCAACCGATCTCCGCCACAACTCATTGCATTTACCAATTCGTTTGTAACTGCGGTAGTAGTTATATTGGCAGAACAGATCGATCGTTGGGTAAGCGCATTGGAGAGCATATCCCAAAATGGATTGCCAAACTGTCGACACAAGAAGCAGGCGAACGAGAAAAGGTATCTAAGATGCCGGCCTCATCGATCGCCAAACACCTACGGGGATCAGGCCATCAGGTTGACCCCAGGTCAACATTTACAGTTATCTATCGTAATGACTACCCAAAAGTGTTGAGGTTTGCCGAAGCCGTGGCATTTAACCGGCATCGCCCTATCCTATGCGTGCAAAAACAATTAACAGTCTCCCTGAAGCTTCCTTGGGGCTCATGACCCTAAGATCAGGATGCTAATCTGTCATTGTTGTGTCTACGTAATTTTTCCCTTGTGACCAGTTTCAAATCTTCGATTTTTTTCTGTCACGTGATTCATCTATCTGTTGTTAGTTTGCGAGTGAACAGATAACACGAAATGGTACCATCTCGCAATACCAGTCTTCTTATTGTCTTATTTAGAATGATAAAGGGAACTCAATGCTTTAAATTCCCAAAGCCTCGGTGTTGATCGTTTACCCCTCCTGATGACATCTGCGTTATCTGAGGTACATATGTGTGTTATCGAACATAACTTTAATAACAGTGGATTTATACTTACTAATACCGCGGTTAGTCCACTGGTGTGAACCTTTATTTGCTGACAACTTTTTTCAATATTTTGAATTTTCACCATGATCATCCAGCGGTACCTGTTAAGCTACAGCTTTTCTACCCGTATAAAACCATTGTTCCTTTGTTCTATTGTTAGCTTATCATCATCATTATATAGGTCACCTAGAGGTGGGAAACACCTCAGCTACTGTGCCGCAATACATAAGGAAAAAGGAAAATAAATACAACAGTTGCATACCAGCTGAGCTACCAGCCACGGATATGCATCGTTCCGGTAAGCAACCAATCGGCTAATAGGCGTAAAGGAAGATTATTGTTTTACCCTACAAAATGAGATCGTCGATAGAGGGGTAGTCTAAAAGGGATTGGGAGGGACAAATAAACTCACAGCACGAACGCCACTGAGGTCGGCTCCTAGCCATGTCAGCAAGTGTGTCCAACCAAACGTGTTCATCGTCTTTCGGACCCCAACCAGGGAGCCGAGACGCTCCAACTAAGGCCAGCTAAGAAGTGAGGGTCTTCATTCCTCGGACCAAGTCATCACTTGGCCACCCCTCCTCTTCTCCCATCCACATCCTCGATGAGCAAACAATGCACGTCGTGGAAGTCAGTGGGCTGGCATGCGCAACATATGGCCCAGCCATCGAAGTTTGGTGCGTGAAATGACGGTGCTGAGCGGTTCATTTCCTTTTCCTGTGCCGTAAACAAGACGTCGAACACGCTCGTTGCTTACTCGGTGTTCCCACCAGATGTGAGCCAAACTGCGAAGGCACCGATGGTGAAAAGTAATTAGCCTCTTTATGTCCACTGATCTTAGGGGCCAGGTTTCGGAACCGTACAGTAAGGTCGAACGTACCGTTGCATTGTACACTCTACCCATCAGGGCGAGAGTAATGTCGCGCCGTCGCCACAAGTGGCGAAGGTCAGCAAAAGCACGCCGAGCTTTTGATATACGGTTCGTGCTCTCGTCTTCGATCCCAAGAGCGCTGATACAACTTCCCAGGTAGTTGAATTTCTGAACTACTTCTAGCTGATCCCCACCAAGGGGCAGTGCGGGAGGCGATCCCTGCCAATCTTGGAGGAAAGCTTTGCACTTCGATTGTGCGAAGCAAAGCTCGAAGCGCCTGACGGCCAGTGCTAATCTGTCCAGTGCGGCTTGGCACGTCTGGGAGCTGTCACAGATGAAGGCAATCTCGTCTGCATACTCCAAGTCAAGAAGTCGTTTTTCTGAGAGTAGCTCCACACCTTCCAAGTCATGTCCTGTAAATGCAATCTTCATGACTTTGTCAATAGCGAAGTTGAAGAGGAAAGGTGACAGCGGGCATCCTTGTCTCACACCGCTGGAGATATTGAAGGGTGGCGACAGCTTGCCGTAAGCCTTCACTCTGCCCGTGCTACGCGCATATAATGCTTGGATAATGTTTACATATTTCTTGGGCACACCTTTCCTGAGTAGACAATTCCAAAGGGCACATTGGTCAACCGAATTGTTAGGTACAAAGAAAGCACAATATGGGTAAGTGCATGCAGAACGCTGTGTGTTGGTAGAAACACACCGTAATGAGACGGTCTAAGTTAGCCCGTTACAGTGCACACGGTTCAAGTACGAAACAACTTATGAGCAGAACTAGCGCTGTGTGAACACCCCCCAGAGGAGGAATGTTGGGGACATAGATGACTTGCACATTGATCACTTCGGTACTTCGGTAAGCACCCAAACCGGATAGTGCGCAGGTTACACCCTTGTTAGTTAATTAATTATTATGTCAGCTGCAAAACAAAAAATAAATCGTCAGTTGTACGCCGTAAACGCGCTTCGCTGCCGCACTAGCACAATCAGTGGCGCGTGCGCTGAGTATACCGCGCGGACGCCCGCCCCTAGGCGGATTCAAACCGGTGACCCTATGGTTGCACAGTAACTGATGGCGTCCATTCCTATGGTTGCATGGTACGATTTTCCACGACCAAACTACAACCAACTCTGCACAGATGATGTCACCCCTATTGGTGATGACACGTCTGTAACCAGTTTTGCCAAGCTCGGCGAACAAATGAACAATCGAATCGCCAAACCGAATTACCGTTATTCCTGAACATTTTACACAACCACATGCGTTAAGTGCACCGCTTTGCTAGCTGTTAGGTGGTCTTTGAGTGCAGACAAGCCTCTGCAAGACAACAGCTCTTGTTTCTTCATGAATGCCTGAGACCTTCTTCCTCGCCGTATTAGCTACGGATCGCCGAGCAAACATCCGCAAGCGTGGGCTGCCGCTGGACAATTCGAGACGCCCATGATACAGCCATTGATCACAGACGCTCAAAATCGGCTGAAAAAAGATGAAGGATGTCCGGACGAACATCGGTTTATATCAACTCGTTGAACGACAACCGAGAAAGCAACTAGACGTTGTAAACGCACGTCGGGCAGCAAAAACCGGAACAAAGAAGAATATTGTGCTTCTCGATAAGTTATCAAAATTGACCTCCTTTAAAGACAGAAATACCAGTGACAGCTGGATCAGAAGCCTGTCTAATCGACCAGTTAACCAAGCCGAACAGTAAGTTTATCAAAGGATTAAGCTACAACTTCAGAGATGCAACAACTACAGACATTCAGGCAGCGTTCGGGAACACTTCACAATCCAATGGATTTTATGAAAGGACGCAAATGCAAATAGGATATGCAATTGTTCCAGTTGTAACGCGCAACAATCCATACAACACACTACCCTGATAAGAAAATGGTTATAAAAACCCCGAGGTCTGACAAATCGATCAGTATCCTATCAGATCATGAGGGTCGGATAACCGTCATTATGAATAGAGAGGATTACCCTGAGTACGGCACAAGAACCTACAGATGCATCGACACCGATCCCATCTGGCAACTAACAAACAAAATAAACAGACCCTTGAAAAATGTCATGATTTGAGTAAATCACGAATGATGAGCGTGACAGAATAAAAACCTGATACTCAAATATGGCGCAATTTTATGGACTCCCATAGGTACACAAAGATGGTGCGCCGTTGCCCCAGTTTGTGTCACTTTTGGGAACACCCGCCTACAAATTGGCGAAAGAATTGTGGAGAGGCCTTCAGGCGTTTGACCATCAGATCGCGATATTCCATAACCAGCCCCCAGTGAGTTCAACAAAAGATCAAAGCCCTGTGATTAGATAAGCATGAAACAACGATATTGTTCAATCTGTCTGCTCTCTTTACGTCTGTCAACTTGTAGATCGCAACAGCGGTCATCACAACAAGCCTGAAGGAGAATGAGCAAACAATCGGGGACATGATGACCGAACATGTATGCAAACTGCTCCAGTTGTGTCTGTCAACCTAGTTCTCTTTCAGTGGGAAGATGTACGAGCGGAGATTGTGAAACGGACTATGTTGGCCAAAGAGAAATAAAATTAGCAACAAGGACACAAGTGTATAAAGGGGCCTGCGAAGAGCATTAGGCATCAACCCTTGTTTCAATGCACGTGCACGAAGCAGGACACAGTCTTGAATGGCACGAGGCATACAATAAGAGAAAGGGAGTATTTAGTAGCTTTGTTCTCCTTGAAGAATGTCATAAGCATACCTAATGACATCTACTCAGCAAACCAACCACTCCGACAGAAAGCAATCGGACGAAATTCCAGACGCTACTTGAACCAGAACAAGCCAATACCCAGACAACGGACCGTGAATATAGCGTATGGACACTATGCTTCATAAGTCAACAGAATTGTGAGAATCTCCCCACGTCGGAACATAATTCTTGCAGTTAATCAAAGTCAACATAATCCCATTGGCTGTATGGATAGACAACCAAACAAGATGATTTACGAATGAAATGCGAATCTCCCTACGTCGGAACTTTATTCAGGCGACCAATCAGAATTGCTTTAACCTCACTGGGTACATCGATAAATAACCAATCAAGAGGAATCGCACTTAGTGTCATGGAAAATCTATATAAGGACCGGCACAATAACTGGTGGCATCAATTCTTGGATTCTTCTGGTACAATTTGTTCCTTGATTCATCTTCAACATATTGTTATTAGGTCATTGTTGTGAATTTAGACGGAAGCAAGGTCACTGGATCCAATGCGTTATAGTGCGCTAACGGTAGTTGTTAAACAGCTGACATGTACTGAACTGGTGGAGGCAAAGGTGGAGAAAGTGATGGCCTAAAAAAGGTGAATATATTATCGAAGCAAATTGTTGTAGTCGTGCTGATAAAAGGCACCATTTGATGCATCGTCATGTTCTGTAGTCATCCTTTCGCACCGTGGTCGGACACCAAAAAGAAAATAAGGTAGGGTATACTCTAAAATGTCATCTACTATATGGGACTTGCAGTTTGGGATGAAACGTGATCCTCTAATCCGGTGTAGCGCCGCAGTCGGTTCGAGCGGATTCGGCTGACTGTGGATCGAGTCGGATCCAGAAACACGACGTAATAATGTGTCACTTCTCGCGTACGACAATTGAATTCAGCGTATCGGCCATTTTTGTTGTAATAAACCATAGCGGGCCACTCTGGATATCCTGGAAAAAATAAGAAGTTGAAAAGGATTTATGAAACATGTCCAGATTCTCCCACGATACTTGTCTGTCCGCGGTTGGCAATTTGAATTGCATAGTGAGGACTGATCTTTTTACAGGTTGCAATCAGGATCTTGATACGTAATGGGCAAGTTCACAGGGAAAAGATGAAGACGCCACTGGTTGTGACAAAATGAAAAACGTGCGAGATCTATTTACTCTTAAACGCAACAAATATACAGAGCTATTTTTGAACTAAAACAACCAAATAACCATCGAAAAACAACATGGATAAAATAACGCCAGTGGTAAAACCTCAAAATGAGGTAACGGTTTGCCATCCTCTATGAGATGTTGCACTTGCTCTAAGCAAGAGCATCCCATGTACCACGTTGTCGTGGACACACAATAGATGTCTGGCAATGAAATCGCTTATAACATCTGGAACATGAAACACCATCTCTGGCCGTTAAGTTCTATCTACTGATGTTCCCCATGGATTAGGTATTGATGCTATCAAAGCGATCACTGTGAGATTGTCTTATGCCAATTGACGAATCTTTGCACTGGGCTTTCAGATAGTAATCATTGGAGGTGTTAGCGGCAGTTGCTAAACCCAGTGAGCAGTGCGGGGAGAGGGGTGAATTCCTGTTTGCTGACTTCGGTGTAACATAATCACAAGTAGGTTATGCTTGAAGCGGTAATGCACAACCAACTCGGTGTCATCAGAATTGCCATAAACAAGCTTAAACAAGAGAGAGAGGACGCGGTACATCTGATCGTACGCCGCATTTGCTGCACAGTTCCATTCGTAGCTCGTTGGTCAGCTGCGTTCAGTACTACAGCTGTGAACACTTCGTCAGATTTGGCTGAATTCGACTGACATGAGGAATCATATTGTCATGGCTGCACTAACTCATAGCAGACGAAAAAAATTGGGTTGAGAATTTGCGCCATTATCAAACGGAAAGTATTGGCGATTAAAACCATACAAACAGATGTAACAGTGCCAGGTCATTTAGGGTGCTTAACCACCGATGGGAATCAATTGGTAACATTCTCAGTCCGCACAATTTACCGTTTTGTCAGCTAAGGATCGCTGCATCAACACAAACTGAATATTGACAATCAACGTCCAATGACCAATCATCAGATTGTCCAACAATTTTGCAATTTACAGTCCAACTGGGGCTCCTCAGCAGCATGTATCCCCATTGAACACTTGCCCGATACATTTGCAGCAAGTGACTTAAGCAACCGGATCACCGGTGACAACGGTAAACTGACATGGTCAATTAACGTTCACTTTATTTCATTACTTATCCTCTAGTGTGGTACATATCGTTAACGTATAAGGGGCGGGGGTGATACGGAGAACACCAAGTTCTCCTGCTGAGCCACCAATCATCTGATAAAATTGTAAGCCGAATCAGGCTGTTAGAACCCATCTTGAAAGAATATTGTCAGGAATTACATAATAGTCATACCAGGAGAAGTATAACTATGTTGAATGGTCGGTGGCGTAGACAGCGAAGTCTGAGCTCTGGAGGACGTCCCTACCCTCTGTATGTTAGTAGCCTGCACAACATTCAAGGAAGCGTAGTGCTAGATCGCAACCGTAATCGATCATGACGATCAGTACGGTCACCCTTTATCTAATGACATAAGTCGCTCGCTACAAGTCGAACATTCAAGGCTCGAGGGACTTGTGCTCCACCGAAGCGACTTAGCCGGATGAAACAGCCATTCGGTAACCTTGACTGGGGAATCATCTCAATACTTATTTCCAGATCAACTATAACTTCATTATCTCTGTTGGATGAGACGGACAATAGGCTTACGATTAAGAAAGCCATATTTAGCGGTAGACTGCACATCTCTTAAATAACTTGTGTATTTCAAGAGCGCAAAAATCAGCAACATTTCGGCGGAATGATCTGCATTCAGTATGGTTGATGCATTCTTTGCAGCCGCCTACATACTACATGTGAAAATTTCTAACGGTTGGGAATTATGGATCAATCCAAGAAATCCATAAGCATTTGTACCAGAAAAGCTGTCGAGCCTTACCGAAGTAAAGCAAGGTTAACAACAGGCTCAATCAGTTGGCTTAGTTTTGGCTTTAAGCGCCCGATGACAGAAGCCTCAACTTAGGGCAGCAACTTGGGATTGTTCATTTGTCAAGTTAACGGTAGGCTGCGCTTATGAAAAGTCCAAGCTAATATTTACAAGAGCTGTTCCTCGAGTCATCTGAAGCTATCAGAGGACTTAGTATCCGAACCTCAAGCATCGATAAGTCCGGCACGAAGCAGAGGTGCTGATGTGGATAGTGGTGAAAGGCTTAAAGGCACTCCATGCGATATCACTGAAATGAAATGATAGTAAGTTCGCGACTTAAGTGCTATATGAGTTAGCATTACACGGCAGTCTCCTTCAGAATAATGGGGTTTAGTTATTTCACCAAAAAGAGTCAAAAGAGGTTGATTGGGATCTTAGCTTGGGAATATTAGCTGGCTCATTTGGAGATTACTCACGGTTCTCTCATTTCGTCTGCCTACCGGATCTGCAGAATCCAAATGTTGGAACCAAGAGCATTGTCGCAAAATCAAACCAAAAAATTATCTCTGAATCCATCTACTAATTAGTAAAGCACGGAAAGAAGACGAAAGCTGGCGGATACATGCATTTCGTATTGTCTTCTCAGTAATATTAATAATAACCAACATGCATAGATATAGCTAAAAGTGGGTGCAACCAGACAAGCTTGAGGTGCAGAACGAAAGACTGAAGTTCACGCCTACGTCCAAGGCAGCTTCAGGCTGACAAAGAATTGTTTCTGAACACACAGAACCAATGTCGAAACGCGCATTGTTTGTCACTTGGAAGTGCTTCTCCTCCACCGCGTGATCGACTGTGATACATTTAAAAGTTTGAAGCCGCGTGGTAGCATTATTCCACAGTTGTATGGGTCCCCAAAGACACATAAGAGTGAAATGCCACTCAGGTCAATCTTTTCAATGATGAGCGCGCCCCAGCATAAACTCGCTGGTTGGTTATTGACGTTGCTATTTCCGCTGCAACAACAGTTCAATCCGTACAGTCTTAAAGACTCGTTTCAACACATCGATGACCTGGATGAACTCAACCTGTCAGGCAAAGTCAAATGTTCCTTGGATGTAAAATTCTAAGTTAACAACGTGCCGCTACATCAGACGGTTGATTACGTGTGCGAATTAGCTGTAAACGGCGGCTGTTCGCTAACAATTACGACTGAATTGCTGAGAAAGACTCTTTTATTGTGCACGGAGAATGAGCTTTTCACTTCCGGAATACACCATATCGTCAAATTGGCGGCGTAGCAATGCGTAGCACATTAGGTTCTGTTCTCACTGATTTCTTCAAGCTGCTGGTATAAAGAAGCATTTCTACGGAAATTGCCCAGGTGCTTTATTAAAAACAATATATCGATGATATTGTTATGGGGACCCAACTTCCCTACAATTATTACAGGCTTAAATTACAGAAGGCTGAAAACCCGATTCACACAAGTGCACATGTACTCGGATCAGACAAAACGCACATGTTCAATCAGCCTTCCAACACGTGAAACATTCACATTGGTTTAGCCTTTGCACCCAGAAAAAGTCTCGTTTCCAAGCAAACACTCATTGTTGTACCCAAGCAACATTTATTTTCCGGACAACTCTCGCCAAACTTCCAACATTCCTGCTCAGTTTACGGACTTTTGCATATTTACATAAAACCATGTTTCTTGCTTCCAGGATTTGCGTAAGCAAACCCTTCCAAGGGAAAACCCACCTTCATCACCGTTTCGTGATATAAAAATGAGGCTGTACAACGCTAGAATCGCCTTAGCTTTGGCCAGTAAAAGCGCCTGTGGCAAAAAGGCCTGTCTTGTTCTTGATTCTTCTTGGGTTGGGAAATCGTGCGTAGAAACTTTGCGTTCGGTCTAGGAACCCGTTCGACTCGCGTGAATTAATCTTTCGCGGCTAAGTTCCGAGAACCCACAGACTTCGAGATTTGTCAGTTACCGTGCTGTGCGAGAAATAATTCTGTGTTTCGTTCGTTCATCCGACTAGGAGAGTTGGTATCCCATTGTTAGAACCTGACATATTCAAGAGGCAGCATTCAGCAGATATCTTGGTTTTCTGTTTGTCGGAGCAGCAGCTCACATATTTGGTAGAACGCTTCAACGGGGCACATGCTAACTTACGGGTTATATGCGAAGTAGAACGGAAGAATTTTCTACCATATTTGGACATTCCCATAGGTCGAGGACCTGATGGATTGAGTAAGAGGTCCATTTACCGAAAATCAAATTGCCCCTGTCAGTACCTGCACTTCACCAGCTTCACATCTGTGCGGTACAAAATGACACCTGTGAAGACTGTAGTCAGTCGTGCCAGACGGATTTATTCTGGCAAACGTCTGGAGTATGAGCTAGTGTTAATTACAGCAACACTAATGGCGGACGACGACCCTCGAAGATTCATGGAGAAACACAGCCAACAGCGAGGGCCAAAGAATTTGGTGCACACGGCAGCCAAGAAGAAATTGCATGTGGAGTTACCTGTCAAAGGTGATTTAGCCACGCTGGAGATAACAAGGCGTATAATTTCGGCTACCCAAAGAAGTGACAATGCGGCACAAGTAGGCATCAACCGAACCAGAAAAGTGCCCATACCTCCAACGAAGGAAGCTCAGCCTACTGACGCCGACTCACACTGTGTATACCAATTTGTATGTGACTGAGGAAACAGTTATATAGGCAGAACTGATAGCCCTCTGACCTTCCGAATAAAGGAGAATGTACAAAGAGGGGTTCAGCGTGAAATTGCTCAGATTGCGTACTCTCGTCAGATTCCGTGTTCGCGCACACCACCAGCTTTCTCGATAGGCAAATACCCATTAGACTCGGGTCACCGGATAGAGCTGGGCTCAGCGTTTAAAGTGGTGTTACGTCACACTAATCCCCGCTTCCT